CATGTGACCTAATTATAGAGATCTCAGTGTCCACCCTATGGAGCTCTGTCATCTTGCAGCATAACATATTGAGGGAAGCATGTTGCGATTCTGTCAACCTGTTTGTATAAGAGCAGGGACTGCAGGTGAATGACCAAACTGACCATTTTACTGTGGTATAGGAAGCTATTCAAGTGGGTGGAGCTAAAAGCTATGTAGGAGAAGCAGGTAGTACTCTCGTGAGAGAGATGGGCACCATCCTTTGCAGCAAAGAGCGAGAGTCCAGATGAGATAGTAAGAACTGCCGATGTTGGAGTCTGAGATAACAAAGGTGTGGAGCTGGATGAACACAGCAGGCCAGGCAGCATAAGAGGAGCAGGAAAGCTGATGTTTCGGGTTTGGACCTTTCTTCAGAAGGGTCCAAACCCCAAACGTCAGCTTTCCTGCTCCTCCGATGCTGCCTGGCCTGCTGTGTTCATCCAGCTCTACACCTTGTTATCTGAGAGTCTAGATGGCTGTGTAATCTGCCCTGTTCTGGGGTTTGGGACGTCTGCTCATGGCTGGAATGGAACTTGCTGTGAAAGTGGAAGGATCCAGTGATCATAGTCCATGTAACAATGATGTAGGTAGAATGAGCAGCTCGGCACAAAATTAAAAAGCATAACCTCAGAAGTTACAATCTTTGGATTATTATCAGCTGAGTCATGAACAAATTGGCACAGGATATATAAAATTAGAGTGAGGAATACATGACTCTGGCGTGGGGGAAATGAGTTCCAGTTTGTGAGGAAAGCGGTGGCGGGTGGCGGGGCGTGGGGGAGGGGTCTTCCATACCATTGGGACAGTCTACACCTAAACCTACTGGAGCCAGTGTTCTTGTGAACTGCATAACTAGGAAAGTGGAGAGGGCTTTATACTAAATAGTGGGGGTAAGGAATCGAATGTGGAATGGCGTAATATATCAAAGAGATGGGACAAAGTAAGGGAAAAATAGTCACGTGAAATTTAACCAGAGCATGGCAGGAAGACACGAGACACGAGACACGAGGTTTAGGAATCCACCAACAATCAAGATTAGATGTTACAAAGAAAAATATAAAACTAAATGCTCTATACCAGAATGTGCATAGAATTCATAATAAAGTAAATGAATTGATAGCATACATTGAAGTGAATCAATATGATTAGATAGCCATTATAGACATATGACTTAAGGATGACAAAGAGTGGGTACTGAATATTGAAGGATACAGAATATTCAAGGAAAAGAGGAAACTGGGCAAAGGTGGAGGGGTAGCACTTTTAATCAAAAATGTGCATAGAGATGATCTTAGTTCAGGAGATCAGAATGTTGAATCAGTTAGGGTGGACCTAAGAAAATGAATGAATGGAAAACATTACTGAGAATTATCTGTAGGCCTATGGCATGAATGGGATACTTTTCCTCTGGTATTCTTTCACCCGAAAGGACTGTAATGCATGCATCTTTCCATAAATATTAACTATTTCCTATCCAGTGTCATCCATTTTAATGAAGTTACCCAGTGTATTGCAACCAAATGACATCCCATATTTACATAATTTTCTCTGTTAAGATTTACGACCCTAATTTCAGATTGGACGACTTCCCTTTCTATCTTAATGAAGAATTTTATCCCTGTATTCTCCTTTTCCTAAAGGACTGCTTATACTAAGATTATTAATTAACCACTTCATATTACACAAATCAAATCTAAGATAGCCTATTCCCTAGTTGGTTCCTCAATGTACAGGTTTAAAAAACTGTGTTTCCCACTCTACATGTAATTTAACATCAATGGTAATAGTGTAGCACCCTCGGAGCATGCATTTCTAATTTCCTGTTTAATGTCATTTCTGCCTTACCACATGGATTGCAAGCCTATACATAATTCCCAGTAAAAACCAAAAGAACTGCGGATGCTGTAAATCAGGAACAAAAACCAAGTTGCTGGAAAAGCTCAGCAGGTCTGGCAGCATCTGTGGAGGAGAAAACAGAGTTAATGTTTCAGGTCCGGTGACCCTTCCTCAGAACCTGCAAGGTGGACGGAGAGAGAGAGATTAATATAGTCCTAGAGGCTAGTGACAACAAGGGATATGGAGAAAGTGCAGGAAAGTTGTATTGAGTTGGATGGTCAGCCATGATCTGATTGTGGGATGGAGAAACCTGAATGAGATGAATGGCCTAGTCCTGTTCCAATGAGGGACAGAAGAAAAGAGACAAAGAACTCCAGGTCTTGATCCTGAAGCATATCATTTGTTTTTGTCCTGTGGCCGGCAGGAAAGGCAGTTGTTGAAGCACAAAAGGGATTAGCTGGCTTACACATAGCTGGTCTCCTTCTCCAATTGACCTGTCACATCATAGAATCACAGAATCCCTACAGTGTGGAAGAAGGCCATTCAGCCCATCATATCCACACTAACCCTCCAAAAAGCATCCCACACAGACCCACCCCTCTACCCTGTCCCTGTAACCCTGCAATTCCCATGGCCAATCCACCCACCTACATATCCTTGGACACTATGAGCAATTTAGCATGGCCAATCCACCTCGCCTGCTCATTCTTGGACTGCTGAATTCCAGTTGTTTTGCTTAAATGATTACAAGACTGGGCACATTCCTTTCATATTGTCCCCATTGTACAAGTGATTGCGACAAATGGTTAGCTCCCACCAGTTAAGTATTAGGTGATTATCAGGATATTTAGCTGATGGGGTAAGAGATGGCCTCCACTCACACGCCTCCATGGGTAATTTTCCTGGTAGGGTTTTGCAGACGGCCTGGCTCCACCTCAATACCTTTGGAATATACAATGAAACCATTTGCTATCTATGTTGATTGTGGTTTCAGTCTTGATAAAATTGAACCAGTGGTCTCCAGCCGGTAAATTCACTCTTTATCAAGCATGGCTTTGTAACAACACACATATCATATACATTAGTAGTGGTCTTTATTGCAACTTGTCACTGCATTTCATCTTACATTTGAACAGTCAATATCACAACACCTTCCCAAAATTTGTTGCACACGCCACATCTGTCTTGGGAGCACTTGTTGTTTGTGTTAAGCACAAAGATGGAAACATGTTTCATTTTGTAGAACTAAGGGATCATTTCCTCAGCTCTTACGCCCTTCATCTCAAATAAGTATAATAATTCAAAGTAAATGTAAAAGATCAAAAGAAAAATGTATTCACAGAGCTTTGAAAACCCCCTTGACTCAAACACCGAAGTGTATGTTTTAGTTTGGCTAGGATGTAAAATGTTTAAACCTGATACTAATGCATCCACTTCTGGTTTCAGCAAAAATGGGACGAGAAGTAAGCAATGATTTCACTCCCAGTGGACAGGTTAAACATTTAACTATTATAATGTTAGCAGTGAGCCTCAAATTTTACATCCATTTTAAATTTCAACCTGCTGCCTGGGCTCTCTCAGGAAACTCGGCAGCTAAACTTGGTGGCTCAGTGGTTAGCACTGCTGCCTCACAGAACCAGGGACCTG